TTTATGAATGGTGAACTTCAATATAAGAAAAATGTACATGAAATTTATAATAAACATGCATTGCTTTTTACATTTGGTAGTGTTTATTTGTACAAAGGATACTTACATTATACAATAATAACAAAACAGCAACGTAGATCGCATCTATAATAATTTAAGTGACATTATAATTGGTCCTTTAATTGTGCCTATGTTGCGTAGCCTATTAAGAGCCACAGACACTAATTTTGTTTAAGTTGAGTCTCAACTTATATCTTTGTGTACACTTTTGGCACAGCAAATGTAGACTTATTTACACGGTAGCCCATGCGTAATTCCAAGGTTTTCAAATTGTATCGACCTGTGACCTGTACTTATCTTGAAAATACCTGCTTCATTTCATACAATGTTTTAAAATTGAAAATGTTCATATCATCGATATATATATATATATATATATATATATATATATATATATATGTATGTATGTATAAATATGTAAGATTATATATAAGAATAGACGATGAAAGCTTTGTGTCTGAAAGCTTTGGTTTCTCTCTCTTTCTCTTTATTTAACCATGTAAACATATGTATTAATTACGATACTGTATTAATATTCAAGAAACTCTATTATAGTCGTAAAATAACAATTCCAGTATTGTACGAAATCAGGCATAAAACATCGTTAATGCAATTCGATTATCACAAAATAAAGTGTTTACGTTTGTTTGGCCGACTAACGAAGACAGTCAACAATAGGTATTTAATGAATAAATGCATGGTCGTCTACAGAACTATGCAACGAGGCTAAGATTATTCGTATAATTATCTCGAATCAACCTACAATTCATATTTACATTGTCACTTTTTGCAAAGTCAATCCAATTAGGCTTGTGTGTTGTTGTTTTTTTTTCCTTAATTTTTCTACTCGACTCCCCGCGCGGTTATTTGTCAAATAGAAAAACAGCTATGAAGCGTTTAAATAATGCTTTTGATACTAATATTTTCGAATTAAACAATATTAACAATAGGATTGCAGCAAAGCCGTAGGCGATGCAAGCTATTATCCACTAAAGTAAGACTATCAACAAATTACTTTGATCAAGTTGGAGAAATCAAATATAAATTCTGATTTCGTCTCCAGAATTCATCGCACGATTATCAACTTATGGCTGAATGTATAATTCGGACCCCGGGGTGTCTATGCTACGGAATATTAACAATTTACAATTCGCATCGCTATCCTTTTTTTTAAACTAAGTATTCGACGACTATGTCTCCCGAGGTAACGTATTCATCCAGCACTTACAATATTAGAGATCTAACTAAGTTATTATGGTAATAAAGGCTATGTTATTGCATATCACCCGAGGTGGGCTAATTCGTATTCAATTACCACTTAATAAGGATCGTGTTGAGATATGAAATGG